ATAATATAAAGCGTTTAATAATATAAAGCGTTTAATAATATAAAGCGTTTAATAATATAAAGTATTTAATAATATAAAGCGTTTAATAATATAGAGTATTTAATAATAAAGTATATTACTAGAAGTAAACTAGATTTTTTCTTAAAAGTTAGTTAAATACGTATAGCTTTTTAATTACGTAATTTATTATAGTGTAATTTTTATAGTAGATATATATAGTATAGTTCTATCTATATTTAAAATTTTATAGAAAAATATTAAGGTTTCGCTTAGTTATTTAAGAAAAACCTGTTGATTTTCGTTGATTTTCCTTGCCAAGAAATCGTGGGGCGTTCGGTGGTGTGGGGCGTTCGGTGGTAAAGTACGTTAGTTATTTAAGAAAAACTCGTAGATTCTTGTTGATTTTCCTTGCCAAGAAATCGTGGGGCGTTCGGTAATATGGGGCGTTCGCTGATAAAGTATGTTAAATACTAACTTAAATACAGCTAAGCTTTCCCTGTTACCCCGCTCGCTTACTATCCCAATCCCGCCCTCAGTTCGCAAACTCTCGACAGAGCTAACGACAGATCAATCTTGTTAGATAACCCCAACGGCAGCCGTTCAGTCTACCTTACACTACTGCCTGGTGTCGAATGTAAAACCCGAATGCCTCTGGAATAGCAAATCTTAGGTTAATGACCCGAATTGTGCGCGGACTGACCGACAGCGACCGCGTCAAACATGCCAGAACGGGCTGGTCTAGGTAGCATTGGCACCAACAACAATGACGGCGATATCGACGTCGTCACGAGCGCCAGTCTTCTCAGCTGCCTCAACATGAACTTCGAATCCGATGCTCAGGCGACCGCGGACGAAAGCCCAGTCGTGGATCAGGCTGACGAGGAAGAGAGCCATCCTTCAAACAACGAAGATCCAGCCTCAGCTCAGGATCCGCGCTGCATCATCGTCCACCAAGTCGACTGCGCCGGCTCCTCGCCAGCCCACTCCCGCCACCCAGAAAGCGAATTGTTCCTCGACGCACCGCGCCTCTACAGAGGTGACAGTAAGGCTAACTCGCTTCGCGGGCGCTCACGCATCTATGATCTACCCTCATATCTCGTAAAGCACCCCGAAATCAGCTTCGTCGTCTACCGGTCCTACGGCTGCGTAGAATACCACGACCTCGTGCTGGAGGAGCTCCAGAGAGCGCGGACCAGCGCGCCGGAGCATGTCACGGGGAGGCAAGTCCTCCCGGATTTCTTCGTCCTCGCCCGCGATACCGACCCCGCGCTGCCGGATCGAGAATACATGGAGATCCACTCAGAGGGCCTCCGCGACGCGATGAGCGCAGTGCAGGCGTTGCAGCCCGAGAACCAAGCACTGCTGTCTGGTTGGGAACGCGAGCACAACATGCTGGCGCCGTACCTACACTTCTATCACATCCGCGGCCTCCTACAGGACAAGCGGGCGCTGCTGCCCGAAGCGCAGCAGCGGCACCTCGACCTCCTGCTCGAGTATCTGGACAGCCAGTTCCGACGCGAATACGACGAAGCAGACAGGATCTTTGAAGAAGGCTACGTGACGAAGGGCCACCTCCACAAGCTCTTCGGCCCCAGCGAGGTGGTGGTGAAGGTCCAGGACGGGCATCCCATTGCGATGGTGGCGAAGCACTGCCCTCTGTCTGGTTCGCATCCTATCAAGCTCGACTGCGAGGCGTGGGTGTTCGACGGCCGCTTCGCCAAGAGCACGAAGAAAGTCACTCTCCAGTGGCCTCAGGGTGATTCCGTGCCCGATAGGATTCCTATCTCATCCCTCGCATTGTACCCGCTGCGACTCGACCGGACGGGAATGGAAGCCAGGCTGAGGAGGCGAGGCGAGATCTTCTGGAGCTGTCGAAAGCGGCGCTTTGTGGGCTACGACGCAAGCGAGCAGACGTCCGAGTTCCAGGTGGTATGGTCTAGCCATTGTTTTGCTTTATACTACGCTTGAAGAACGGAATCTAATCTCAGGGACAGGCCAATGGTCGCTACATGGTTGACACGAATATGTATCGGCAGCTCCATGGCGGGGAAGACGACTCCGGCGGTGCGAACGCCGCCCGGGAGTACCTCGACCTAGAAGTTATGGAGATGGATGTCCCTCCACCTGGCCATTTCAGCCTCCTTCTTCCTCCAACAATCCCCGGTTTTGGCTTTCACGACAAGAAATGGAGTGCGTCATGGCCATCCTCTTTTGTCTTCACGGCTCACTAACACCCCCTCAGGGAGACTTGCGGTCGAGCACATATGTGCCGTGATCTGGAACAAGAAGGCCTTCGATCGACTGGTCCTCAGCGCCGACAAGAAAGATATCATCGCCGCGTTATTCAAAACGCATGCCCAGAGCGCGATGTCAACCGATAGGGTCAAGGGCAAGGACAGGGGGCTAATTATCCTGCTCCACGGCGGACCTGGAACAGGCAAGACGCTCACAGCCGAGAGCGTGGCGGAGTTGGCGGAGGTGCCGCTTTATCGGCTCACGTCCGGCGATATTGGGACCGATCCGTCGGATGTGGAGAAATATTTGGAGTCGGTTTTCTACCTAGGGAATATTTGGGGAGCAGGTATTTTTCCCTTCTCTAGTTGTTCGAGTGACTTCCTGACTCTTTTCCTTCAATTCTAAGCGGTGCTACTGGACGAGAGCGACGTTTTCCTGGAGGAGCGGTCCATCGCAGACCTCCAGCGCAATGCCGTCGTCTCCGTCATTCTCAGGGCCATGGAGTACTACGAGGGCATCCTCATCCTTACGTCTAACAGAGGTGGGTCTCCGGACACGGGACTGTGCAGAATGCCAGGGCTAACTCTCCACCGTCAGTGGGCACCTTCGACGAATCGCTGAAGTCCCATGTCCAACTAGCCATCCACTTTCCCTCGCTCGGGACTGTTGAGCGCCGACAGCTCTGGCAGGACTTCGTCGAAGAGCTCACGGAGGAGGGTGACGGGAAGAGGGACATCCGCATCCATATCGACGAGTTGAGCCGGCACAAGCTCAACGGTAGGCAAATAGGCAACGCGATCCGCACGGCGCGGCGGCTAGCCTTCTACCATGGGCAGGTCTTTAGGACCCGGCACATTATGCAGACGATTGGGGTTGTCCAGGAGTTTGACGAGTACCTTAACAACGTGTATTCCGATGCGGATTGGGCCCGGGAGGAGGGCATACGTTAGGGTTTTGCTGAGGGTGGGAGTTTGCTCTAGGATTGGCGTGAAGCAAGAAGGCCTTCCAAGGGGATGGGTTCTGAAAGAGAAGACGGTTCGTTAATAGTAGCGGATAAGCAGGAAGTAACCGACAGCGCGAACTAACACTACTACCTAGGGGGCGGGGTGCTCTTAGAGCCAATTCAATATTCCTTCTCTCCAAAAACCGCTATACCAGAGCGCCGCTTGCTCTTTGGATTCGGAGCCATGGGCGACAAGATTAGGCGGCGCGGTCCTGCCGCGACGACCCGCTCGAAGTGTATACGTGTGACACGCCAGACCTCCCCATTCCAGAGCGCGTTACGGCTTTGACACGATTTGCAACCCATACATCTCGAATGCTACCACGATTCGGCAGAGAAGAGCACCGCCGAGGAACCTGCCGACAATCTCAACAGAAGTCCACAAGGGAACGAATATGACACTGGACAGGATAATCGTTCCGAAAAGCATATGTACGTAAGCTCCAATCTTGATCGACCAGTTCAAAAACAGTAGAACATAACTATGTTTGAATTTCGGCCAAGCAAGTCGTGCGTCTAGATCCGTGGCATATGCGCAAGGCGTAAGTTCCCGCAAGGCTCTGCGTTTCATACTCTTGAGTACCGCAGCAAACGAGGTAGATGTTGATTGTTGAGGAGCTTCCCCGTTCTCGCTACACAATAGCAAGGCCGATACCCCGAATCCATGGATTATAAGCGGGAAAAAATTCCAAAGGAGTGGGGAGAAGGCCTCGAGTGTCCCGCCGAAGGTGCCCATCAATGTGCTGATGAATACAACTGCGGAGAAGGTCAGGTGGTAGGCTTGATTGACAGCATTCACAGCTGCTCCCCAGACCAGAACATATTCCGCTGTCGAGATGATTGCTTTGGTCTACCCGGTCGTTTTTTCGGGGCTCTGTGGCCATAGTCCGTCAAAATCGTCGGTCTCGGTCGCGGATGGTTCCAATCCCGTACTTTCGTGGCTGAGAGTTACCGTTGGCGCTCCGATGCACACCAATAGCGTGAGAACTGGACGATGCGTTGCTAGGATCGACACATCGGCCACCTTTGGTCCGACAAATTGTAATGCCATGGGTAATAGACCCAAGATGATCGAGACGATTGACATTTGGAGTTTTACCCCTTCTGGAATGTTTTCGATCAAACAGCTAACGAGGAAGTAGCCACCGACACGAGGATTTGCCATGACGCTCTTGTATTGCTCGGAACAATTCGTCTTCATAGCTTGGTAGAAATCATGTGTGTCGAAAGGAGGATTATTATAGGGATCACGGAATTGGCCATTCAGATAGGCATTTCCAGGGGACGATAGCATGAGGAGAAGTAGTATCAGGTGATACGTGGGTTTATTAATGAACCACATCTTAGACGAGAGCCGAATTCGTCCATGTAGGGAGAAGAGCGGTTTGGCTGACCACATGCCTCAATAATGAGAGTTATTTGTAAACGCGAGAGTCGTGAGAATAGGTAGCGGAATCCGTACGAAACATCGAAGGACGGTACTTTATAGCTCTCAACGCAGATCTGCGACTCAGATGACATGGCATAAAAGGTTTGAGACAGGGGCTGAAACGATTCGCCCAGGTAACTGCGATGCTGAATTTTTCGGCCCCTGTCACTGGATCCTGGAGGATTTAACCGAGCCGGATATTTATGTTCATTTCTGCAATACGAGCCACTCGACAATGGAGGCAGCTAGCTTGTATCACACGGGGGCGATTATTATACCGTATTGGGAAAACAACCTCGTGCGCACCACGCCCCGGTCTAAAAAGGCCTCCGACTCACACAATCAGGAACACCCCAAGGCAGAAAGATTGAATTCCAGTTCCCGTCGCTCTTCGTGCACCGAACTGGCCGGTAAGGAGTTAGCCTACATGCTGTGACTGGCCTGTTCCAAGGTTGAGGAGAAAATTATAAACAGCACCCCTGCTAGCAAGCAATAAGAGCAGGTATGAAGCCTAAGCTTCCTCAAATAATTTTGTCTGCGCTCATCTCTCCACGACGCCTCCGAAATCACCCAGCACGACTAGATTGCATCGTTCTCCGCCTACAGCGATAACACCTCTATGCTCGCGAATAATGAGAAACTAGCGGGTTCGCAATGCGCTACAATGGTCAAGTGGCGCCTATTTTCCGCGATCCTCGTACTCGTTGCTGCATAAATGTTTAGTCTGTTATAACCAAGGACAGGAAGCTGCCCGTTGGGCCGTAAGCCAACCGAGAAGACATTTTGCGCGGGGAAAGGGAGCCGAGCGGGCAAAGATCGGGGGACATTGGCGACGACTACAAAGAAGCCCGATTACGAGAGCATACTAAGGAACAGCTTAAGGATTGGGAGGAGGCCGGTAAGGAGGAGGTGGAGAAGTAGTTGGCTGAGTCCGAATCTTTGTAGCCGAAAACATTGACTTCAAACCTCCATCAAAATGGCCTTTTGCTCACTCATCGCAGCGGACTCTTCCCACCCATCGAAACCCCGCCGTTCTTCTCGATGGGTATCTCGAAAGCTGAGCCATTCCTTCCCTTTCATTGAACGGTCTTTCGCTTACTCCTCTATCCCAGCTGATCTCTCCCCACGTCGAAATCGTCCTTCTCGATGACCGCTACGGACGCTGGGTGCTTCCTTCTCCTTCAGGCCGTCTTCCGCTTACTCGTCGCAGCGAACCCTCCTCGCCCATAGAATGCCCGCCGTTCTTCTTGGGGACGGCTTCGGTATCCGAGTGCTTCCTTCTCCTGCCATTAAATGGCCTTCCACTCCCTCGCTCCCTTCTCGGTGACCGCTCCAAACGATGGGTGCTCCTTCTCTTTCGCGCCATTTTCCACTCACTCATCGTAACTACCCTCCCCTCCCGTACTCCCCTCTTTAGCGACCGCTCCAAATTCTGGGTGCTCCTACTCCATCACACCGTCTTCCACTCACTCATCGCAACAAGCTTCTACATTCGTCGGTGCCTGGTCGACCCTTGAACCTGGGGCAAACGCCGAGTGCCTCTTCCTCTCTCCTTGAATGGCGTCCCGTCCGCTTATTCTAGACTTCCTAACCTTACATCCGTAGACCCTTCCGCAAGCGCTCATCTCCAGTTCACTTGCCCCTCCCTGATGCCACTTTGCATACCTCATCCTCAACCTCCGCCACCTTTCCTACCTTGTTGCCCTTACCTGCGCTGCACGAGTCCCCGCAATTCCCTGCTTGCCCCTCATCCTACTTTGTACAACCGTTCAGCGACAGCAAAGTTCTCTAGTCCTCCATCAGCTGCGACTTCATAGCTGGTGGCGTCTACTCCACCGTGATTAGTGGAGGGTCCTTAGATGTGGCAATCGTGCGGATGAGATGGTCCGCCGCTCCAAATCTCCATTATCATGTGATGCTGTGCCCTCATGCAAACATGGGAAACTCTAGAAACTAAGTGAGTATGCGTAGAACTCTTGTTTTAGAAGGGATTCACTTACCGTTGGTGTGCGGATCGACGTCTTGCGGCTAATAGTTCTTTTTGCAGCGGAGAATCGTCAGAAATAGAGTTATGTATAATTGCATCCTCGGTGTTACATGGCTTCGTTCGTAGGACTGCTACGAGAGGCTCAGAAATGCATCTCGATTCTTTCGTTTACCATTATTCTCTAGTCGTGTTGAGAGAAGAGATGTCGGGTTGGTAAGTGGAGTGATCGAAGGATCCTGTAGGCGGGCCGAAAGTAGGAGGATAGGGTAACGGAGGAGTGCTCTTTAGAGAAGAGAAAGAACAAAAAGAGATCGAAAGAAGGGGAGTTTGAATTCGTGGCGTGTAAGGGGCGAATGGGGATTACTAGAGAACGTGGAGCAGCGGGAGGAAGCTCTGGGCGATGGGCTCCACCGCGAGGGAATATCTCGGTCTTGATATTCGTATCGGACTACTTCCCCTTCACATCAGTTCGGAAGGCAGTGTAACCAAAACGGCGAGGACATGGTGCTTATGCTGGGCGATGCCTGTTTTGTCTTGGTTCTCTTCGATCTACATTTCCAAGCCAGCTGTCAAAGGTGGCGAGGACGTTACGTTTCCGTCGCTGAAGTCGGCCTTTTCTCCGCTTCCGTAGAAGATGTATTAAAGCGAACGTGGAGTGGAGCGAGACACTAAGGTCGAGGGAGAAGAGGTGAGGCTTGGTGTTGGCGGAGCGCTTAGAGACCCGAGTATCGCAAGGACCGTGTTGGCAAATGTATGTGCTGAGCATCGAAGATCCTGCCAGAGCGTATTGTTGTGGAAGGCGATAGTGAACCGGGTTTGATGAAGCTATAACTCGAATTAGAAGGAATCTTGGGGTGTCCTTGCGGCATACAATAATGCTAATATTGCCTCTAGGCTCATGTCGCGATATTATGTATTGTGACCTGCGACTTTAGCCTGCGAGACTTTGAAAAGGGTCCGCAGTCGGTACGGGGCAAGATCTTCCTGGAATCGGGCCGTAATAAGTGCGACGAAAAATAGATCTCGTTCGCGGATCATGCGGCCCCAGCATTGTCTTCATCCAGAAACGATCGACCATATCCCACCCAGAAAATCCATCCATGATGACGTGTTGATATCATGGCAGACAATCCAGAAGTTTTAGGGTTTCCTCCGCGGGCGCGCGATATCCTTGGGCGACGGCGGTACGCTCAAGCCGACCCACGAGGTCTCCAAGGGCGAAAGCGTCCCAGACCTGTAAAGGTCTATAGATAGGGTTCGAGATGATTACTTCGTAGTCAGGCGCGGTTTCTCAATGGTAGCGGAGGAAACCGGGAATATATCAAATCCTCCGGCGCATCAAGGATCTTGGCAAAGGTCGAATCGGAGGCGTTGGTGGAGAAGTGGGATTTGTTCGTTGTAGATATTATCTCTTGGAAAATGTACGTCGTAAAACGGTGTAAGAGCGTGCCGTGTCTGGAATGGGATTAGCAGGGTAGATGTAGAGAAGCCGCCAATAATTCAAGTACTTACCCGCTGCAGATGTCCAAACAGCCTCTCCTTGAGAAAACCCTAGGTGTCTATTACTCTAGTTCGTCAGGACTTCTCACTCGGGCTACGGTACGAAGATAGATGAAGCCATCTCGAATTTCGTCGGTGTTCGCGCTGGTATTGAAAGACACCCGAAGTATTACTTGGCGGTAGAAAACTTGGAGAATTGAGGATCTGTCAGTTTAAACCGGGTTTCCCATAGACATCGCGCATTGATCGTGAAGTGAAGTAGAGACGAGAGGGAAGGTCAAAAGTAGGAATGCAGCGGGATTGCTTCGAACTTCGATTATAGAATTATTTGGCGAACCGCGGCCTACTCATGTAGGCAAACCCCACGATTATGTATTCTGCTTCCTCGCATGTGGTGTATACAGGGTGAAACCACTGTGTTGACTCCGCTGCACACATCTGCACACCCGCACATGACTCCCTGTTGTCCGCAATAGCCTCGTGTCCTTTGTGAGACATACCTTCTTCCGCGAGAGCTAATCTTGATGTCACCTCGATTACCGCGGCGTCGGCACCCTCCGCATTACTCGGATGAACCGGAGGGGATGCTCCTGGAGGAGGAGGGTCTAATTGTTGAGGCACTGGCGGATTGATCTGGTTCGCTAGTCGGCGTGTGGCCCGACCACAAAGCTGCTTCTGGTTTAGCGAAAAGAGGACTGGCTCGACACATCTCAGCTTCCGAGGGACTCTTTGTTTGTGCCAGTGTCCTTCATTGCTCAACACTACCTCGGCGGCCGGCAGAGACATAGGAAAGCTTAGAGCCGCCGGCGAGATCCTGATGTTCCCGGTGATTGGGGTGTTGGTCACAGCCCAACGGTACTGTGTCATGCAATTCGTAATGGCGACCGCCCCTTTCGCGTTCAGATTTTGAATGTTGTGGCCCCGTCAAGGACCGCCTAGCCTATCTGCACAGAGAAGACAACCAGACCGCCGAGGCATTTTTGTCAACCGTCGCGAGTGCCACTTCGATGGTATCATATCCGAATGACCATGTTGGAGCTCTCGAACCGCTTGGAGGGAAGAGCATGCCAGGTGTGCCATGCTGATGAGGCGTCGTGCGTATCGGGGAGCGCTGGCTGCGCCTGGGGGGGTGTAACGGGTGCGGAGGAAGTGTCAAGCTCCCTACGACATGCCAAGTCAGCTGATGCGTACGAAACTTCGGAATCACCGACGAAGGGTGGCGCAGAACACTTACTATAGCTGACTATGCCGTCGTAGAACCCAGCAAGCTTGATGATACACGCTCCATAGCGCCGATGGTATTGCCTCCAAGGGGACGATGGTGTGTCGATGCCTGGTTACGATGATGCATCCTTTGCGGTCGAATCGGTCCCGCTCGCAGATGCCTGCAGGTTCAAGACATTAGCGTTGAGCAGCGTGGGATCCTCGCAGCCCTACCTAATACCTGCCAGCACTCTCGGTAGGCTAGAGGTGAGCCTTGTTTCTTCCGTCCCCGCCGTTGCCCGAAGGCGGTCTAACAATGTGATAGCTCTCGCACGTCCCATTCATTGCCAAGCCCCTGCTGAAGACGCCGAGATGGGCGGCTCATCATCTTCAATTATCGCAGACTTGACATGGGCCACTGCCATCATCGTATTGCGGATGCTCCGATGGATCGCTCGCTCGTCACGCCTTGTTGTACTGCGGCACCGGAGAGGGGCTTCTGAGCTCGGGGCTGCGCTCGCGGTCCGGTGGCGTCGGCGAAGAGGGAGCGTGCCGACCAGCTATAATTACGAACATAATCGCGGTGGAAGGGCATTCACGAGATAGAAGAGCGTGGGTGATGGAGGGATTAACGTTGAGACGTGGTGTGGTGCGCTTCACGAGAACGGTAGAGCTTCGGAAGAAACATATGCCGCGCCGAGATTGACGTGCCTAATTTCAACACCCCGAAAACGGCGAGAGATATCCACGACGGCGCCGAAGCTCACAACTCCTTCCTGTTCCTGAACAAGACACAGTGCGTGCTGCTGTCGCTCACCGCCCGGCATGGGGAGAGAGTGACAGACGTCTCTCCCCTCGGTAGGCAAGTGACGAGACAAGTTCTAGCCAGACATGCATTGGCGGGGTAGCTCCAGGCATCCACTATCAAGGATGCAGCATTCGAGATGATTTATTTATGGGGCTCGTAAAGCACTATTAATACGGCTTTCTTTTTAGCTCACTTACAATTCTGGACGAGCTTCATTCTTTTAAAGACATGTACAACCTTTGAAGCCGTAACCATGCAGCCTACCTACACTTACACCCCGGCTTCAAATGCCCAAACTGCGAATTCGCCCACTGCAACTGCCTCAGGTGCGAGCACCACATCTACCACCATCACCCATACCGTTGCGCTTGACGGCGACGAAAACATAGCCACTTTCAGAGACAATCCCTCGAAGTTCCAAACGATCCGGGTCGCCATTCATACTACTGGGCCATGGCCAAACTCCCCCCACAGCGACAACCATATTACTATACTTCTGCTCCTGCAGGAAGGTGGTGCAGTCCAAGTCGACATGAGAACTGATCCGGGCGACAGAAGGGGCAAACTCGTCTAGAAACTAGTGAGCTATCAGCAATCATTGTCGCAGATCAAAACTTTTGACTACCAACTCGCCACTCCAGCCCAGGTCTGGACTCTTTATCGTGCTATACGATATGATTGGAAGCTTCACCAATATCTATTCTCAGCTGGTGGCTCTGGATGTCACTATTGGAAGTATGACCACACTATTTGGACATTTTAACTTGTTGCTGACTTAATCTAGCTACTACCTCTTGCGCTTAATGACATCAAACCCAGATAGATTTAGGCTGCATGAACATGTCCCAAATCATGTTTGGAATGTTTTCACGAAGTGGTATTCTCGTACAGGGGCGGAGAGACCGAACAACATTCTTCAGGGTGAGTTTCAGGACTATGCGGATTGGTACGAGGATTGGTATGGCGAGGATGAGGAGGACGACGACGTCGAGTAGGAGAGGTTGTTACGACAAGGATGGAGGGGTTTCTTCGCAAGGTTGATTCGGGGCGGACTTTCTCTTGCCTTCTTGCTTCCTTCTTTTCCTCTTCTCTGGGGCCGTCATTCCTGGCGGAAGTTTTTGCTTTGCTTTATTTATTCGGCTGGCCTCATCAGCATTTTATCGCTACTAGCAGCAATGTACTTACTAAATGTATTTCTGCCCGAGATAGTAAGCTTGTTCTAACAACTCCGCTTGAGACTTTTCGCCCTTATCAAGCACATCCAATAGCTCAAGGAGTTTGGCATTCCAGTCACCCTCATTTTTTATACCGAGCCGTAAAGCACACCTCTCGAACAGTCTAGGGTAGAACCCAGCGGAGGCCCAGTCAATAAGGCAAAGAGACCCATCCTCTAGCACCAGAATATTTCGAGGGGCGATATCGAGATGACAGAAGACTAGCGGATAATCCTTCAGTTGAAGATTTGGTAATTCTTTTAACTGCCTTTTGTTGTAGTACTCCTCGATGTCTGATATAGTTGCGGGTGCGATTGACTCATAGTCCAACCAAAGCTGGCCATACGCAAGCCCTCCACCGAAAGGTCCTGGCTTGTCATGTTGTACTTGTTCGAAATAATTCAGAACCTTTACCATTGCCGCCAAGTAGGTGTTGGGATCTTCAGCTGAGGATAGCGGTTGGCCGTTGACGTATTCCATGACAATATACCCATTGTGCCCATGGGCAAAGGCGCGATAGACCCGTGGAATTCGTATAATTGCGGGATCGATCATCTCATATGCGCGCTGTTGGTTTCGGGCCTCGTTTGCGGTGATGCCTAATCCGCACTTCACAACGGCATCTTCTGAAACCCTGATGATTGAAAGTCCTCCTTCAAGTTCGCTGATTACGTTTCGGTCCGGATTGGAACGTAAACAATGTTGGACAATTTCATCGTTGGTAGCCGTGTCGTATCGGAAAGCCATAGTTTTATGAGATCATCTTTGGACACGGCTGTGCTTGACCTGCTGTGAGGAGTGGTAGCGGATAGTGGAATATGTGTGGAATGAAGCGCGGTTGACGTTTCGTGGCGAGCGTACGGGGAGACCTGGTCCGTGCGCGTGACTCATTCGATCGCCGCGCCGTTCTCCGCCTCCATCCCCCGCCTCCCCCGCCTCGCCGTGTCTGTATGAAGACGACCAGACGCCAACCTCTTACAGCCGCATTGCACGTTGGCGTTCGAATGGCAGATTCTCACGCAAGACCTCCTCGGCCAGCTCTCCGGCACCTCGCTTCGCTGGCACCTGCGACAGTACGGGTTGTGAGTAGATGCCTCCCCGCGTGCAGAGACGGGGATGCTGGTTGAGCGTCATGCTTCGAAGGATGCTAACGTGCGCAGATAATGCCGCTAATAGAGCAAGTCACCGTCTCCTGGCACTAACCCCCTGCTGGCGCAAAATTAGCCTGAGAAAGCTACTATGTTCTGCAATAACGTACTTTATCAGCGAACCCCCTACACTACTAAACCCCCTAAAAATGCTAAGCCCTTACTAAATGCTACTATCTTATTTAGATTACTCTAACTCTAAAGATAAGCTAACGTACTTTACAAGCGAACCGCCTATACAAGCGAACCGCCCACGATTTCTTAGCAAGAAAAATTAACGAAAACTAACTTGTTTTTCTTAAATAACTAAGCGAAACCTTAATATTTTTCTATAAAAATTTAAATATATATTCTCTATAGTATATTACACCTTATAAAAAAGTTATACTAAAATATATTATGTAATTAAAAAGCTAACGTACTTTATAAGTAAGCTAGTTATATAAGTAAGCTAGTTACTTTTACTAAGCCTCTACTAAAAAGCTACTATTTTAGTTAGATTACTCTAACTTTAAGCTACTTAAGATAAATCTAGATAAGCTATTTAACTTATCTATATTATCTTTAACTATCTAGCACGTTTACGTATTATACTCTAGCTTACTATAGTATCTATAGCGTTGCTAAGCTAGCTAGCTATTACGTGCTACTACCTCTTTACGCTACTTCTTACTCTTATTCTAATTCGTAGCCTCTCTTTAAGTAACTAGCTATAAGCTAGCTTTAATTATAAGAGTATTCTCTTTCTAAATCTACTTTCTTTTATGTAAATTACGCTTCTTTTTCTATATATTAGCTACTTAAAGCTAGGTAACTTTAGACTTTATAAGTACTAGCTAATACACTATTAGCTTATTATCTTTCTTAAGCTAATTAAGTAACTTAATAATATAAGTTAGTAATAAATTAAGATACTACGTAATTTTTCTCTAAATTAGAGTTAATTATAACTTTA